ACAGTATTTTGTTATGGCAGTCAAAGCTGACTAATGCAATGTCCTTGTTGAATCAAATTAATCATCCTAGAATATCCTGATCCAAGTGTGTAGTAGATATATCATTTATATATAGTTCTGTCTCTCTCCTAGAGAATAGTCCCCTAGATTATGAACTTAGATTCATTTGGATCACTCACAACATGTGCCTTTTATTAATTATAAAAAATTCATATTCATAGTAACAAATCAAATGTAACTCAGAAGAGAATGAATAAAAACTTCATTCTTGTTTACTATCCCTTTCCTCCATGCCACCATCTTGAGATATTGAAAGAAACTGAACCTTTCAATTATTGAAAGGAATTGAATCTGCAAATCAATTTCTTCACTTTCCCTTTCCTTATTTTAACTGTTTGGATTATTTCTCTCTTACCGAACATTTCTTCACATTCAAAATTATTGGCTAGAGTTCGATGCACAACAATTGTATAAAATATTCTCCTCAGCTCAGCATATCACTAAGATGAATTTCACTTAAATCATTTAAAACATTTTAAAACCAGTTTTTCAATGGACTTTAATATTAAAAAGTTCTCGGACTGAGAAATGCTCACTTATTCTAGTCCTGTTTTAACTCTTTACGTCGGTTCTGCACTGTCATAAATAACCAATAATTTTCCAATTTAATGACATCAGTTTTGATCCAGTTCTCAAAACTGTATTTGTGCATAGTTTTATAAAATGTCTGCTGGCAAAAGTTTCCTTTACTTTAAATACAAGAAGTCAAAAATAAAATAAATGTTCATCATCCTATATTTTAGCATACAAATTAAACTGCAGAAAAAAAATGGTAAACAAATATAATTTTATTTGGAACTGGTTTTATTAAATTATTGATTGATACATATTTTAATTTTGAAATGTCATTTGAAACCATATGCTTTTGGATCATAGAAATGAAATATACTTTTAAAAGTCTCTTGTGTAGCCTTCTGCCTTAAAACTGATAAAAATGTTACCATCAAAGCAACTTAAATAAAGTGAATTGATTTGCTCTATCTAACAATTATTTAAAAAACCAGGTTTTCTAACTTCACATACCACATGCTGTAGCAATGTCTCTTAATTGTAACTGTCATTGGATACCAACAAATTCTATTCACATTCAGTCCTAAAATCCAGTATTTACAGAAAACCAGCCCTTTTTACTAACATCACCTTATGGTTCCAACTAAACAATCCTGTTAAAATGGTTATTGTGATGGAAGACTATTTATTAATTATTAATAAAAATAAGTTTATGTTCTTTGTGAAAAGAACTTGTATTTATATAATTTATCAGAATTTATAAAATTATATATGCTATACATGTATGTGGATATGCCACTCACACTGAGCTTCAACGAATGTATGTGATGTGTTGGAAAATCAATACAATCAATTGATTGTATCAATTTAAACTGGTAAATGTATTGCCTTATCTAAGTGTTCTTGTCCTAAAGATCACACAAATTAACACTATTTATCCTTAGTGGACTTGGTGTCTGAGGGCTACAATTAGTGACTCACATAGTCTTTATATCTAGGTCATTAGTTCAAATCCACTTTAGAATGTTACTTCTTGAGTGATTTTGAAAGGTATCCAATGTTCTGTTACAAATCATAAATATGGTGCTTTAATTTCATTTTAAGCTGTATTTTCACAAAAATAGTATGTTATTTTTCTCCTAATTATCTTCACCCGTTTCTGCATTTCTCAAATAAATAGCTAAACAGAAAATAAAAATGTAATCAATACACATATTCTACAGAAATAAAGATTTGCAATTTTTTCCTTTAGAAAAGATTATCTGACAGGCAGGACTCAGTGGCTCACGCCTGTATTCCCAGCACTTTGGGAGGCTAAGGCAGGTGGATCACCTGAGGTCAGGAGTTTGAGACCAGCCTGGCCAACATGGTGAAACCCTGTCTCTACTAAAAATACAAAAATCAGTTTGGCATGGTGGCACAGGCCTGTAATCTCAGCTACTCAGGAGGCTGAGGCAGGAGAGTCACTTGAATCTGGGAGGCAGAGGCTGCAGTGAGCTGAGATTGTACCACTGTACTCCAGCCTGGCCGACAGAATGAGACCCTGTATCAAAAATAGAATTAAAAACAATTACATGACAGAAGACTGCCAATCAACAACTTTTATTTCCTAGATTGATGGCAAGAATGCAATCATGGCAGAGGAGGCCTGATTGATGGATGGTTCATTCAAAGTGGTAGGAGCTACTTATTGGGTACTATGTTTATCACCTAAGTGACAAAATAATATATATACCAAACACCTGCGACACACAATTTACCTGTATAACAAACCTGCACGTGTTCCCCGAGCCGAAAATACAAGTTAAAAAACATCTGCAATAAACTAAGTGGGAGGAACTATTTTCATGAGAGGTTTTCTGAGTCACTGGGTATTTGAAAAGAAGCTTTGGTGAGAGGTAACAAAAATGTGGCTGAATTCATGAGAGAACAATTCTCCATTATCTCATATAGAGCATAACTTCTGTACCTTAAAAAAAATTGTTTTCTTTTCCCCCGCTTTTGCATATAGGGAATGGGCTTGAAATGGAAAGGCCAGGGCAGCACATACAAAGTTAAAGGCAATAAAGGTTGATCTGTGTTAAGAAAAATGAAAAATGCCCAGCACTATATTTAGAAAAATTGAGACTCGAAGTCATCTATGCAGCCAACAGACATATGAAAAAAATGCTCACCATCACTGCTCATCAGAGAAATGCAAATCAAAACCACAATGAGATACCATCTCACGCCAGTTAGAATGACGATCATTAAAAAGTCAGGAAACAACAGATACTGGAGAGGATGTGGAGAAATGGGAATGCTTTTACACTGTTGGTGGGAGTGTAAATTAGTTCAACCATTGCAGAAGGTGGAAGATAGTGTGGCAATTCCTCAAAGATCTAGAACTAGAAATATCGTTTGACCCAGTGATCCCATTACTGGGTATGTACTCAATGGATAATAAATCATGCTACTATAAAGATACATGCACATGTATGTTTATTGTGGCACTATTCACAATAGCAAAGACTTGGAACCAACCCAAATGCTCATCAATGATAGACTGGATTAAGAAAATGTGGCACATATACACCATGGAATACTATGCAGCCGTAAAAAGGGATGAGTTCATGTCCTTTCTAGGGACATGGATGAAGCTGGAAACCATCATTCTAAGCAAACTATCACAAGGACAGAAAACCAAACACCACATATTCTCACTCATAGGTGGGAGTTGAACAAAGAGAACACATGGACACAGGACAAGGAACATCACACACCAGGGCCTGTTGGAGTTGGGGGACTAAGAGAGGGATAGCATTAGGAGAAACACCTAATGTAAATGAAGAGTTGATGGGTGCAGCAAACCAACATGGCACATGTATACCTATGTAACAAAACTGCACATTGTGCACATGTACCCTAGAACTTAAAGTATAATTTAAAAAAAGAAAAATTGAGTCTCGGTGCAAAGCTAATAACCAGTGATGGAACGAATAGATGTTCACGAAGTGGCCAAAGTTCGCATTTTAGGGTGAGAGAGTCAAATGATAAGAGATATCATGACACGTACAAATTCACTGGTATTTCCAACTCAACAATGGTATAAGAAATGCCTGTGTTTTTGTTGTTGTTGTTGTTTGTTTGTGTCTTTGTTTTTTGAGATGAAGTCTCACCCTGGTCACCCAGGCTGGAGTGCAATGGCCCAAACTCAGCTCACTGCAACCTCTGCCTCTCAGGTTCAAGTGATTCTCCTGCCTCAGCCTCCTGAGTAACTGTGATTACAGGCGCCTGCCACCATGCCTGGCTAATTTTTTTGTATGTTTAGTAGAGATGGGGTTTTACCATGTTGGCCGGGCTGGTCTCAATCTCCCGATCTCAGGCGATCCGCCCACCTTGGCCTCCCAAAGTGCTGGGATTATAGGCGTGAGCCACCATGCCCAGCCGCCTGTTTGGTTTTATAACAGAAATTTAGACCAATCCGTTGGGAAAGAAAGGGAAATACTTATTAAATTAATTTTTCTGGAAAACATATATACATTAAAAATAAAATAAATATGGCCAAAGTTGAATTAACATTAAGGCTATAAACTCAGAATTTCTATTAGTAACAGAGCAAGAATGAAATTCTCATTCTGTGTCTCCTTGTGAGCAAAAAAGTGGCTGGTTTCCTTTTTCTCATTTTAATTTGCTTGGCAATCTGGTAAACTTGTTTTATGTTTGTAAATTAGATCTAATCTAAATGTATATGTGAGATTAGAATTCAGCAGGCATCAAATCTTTGCAGGTTATTTATACATATAGGGCTTGCTATGTACTGTAGAAACTTGTTGCTTAAACTTTCTTTTTAAAATTAAGTTTCTCTTTACATACCGGTAGGAAAAAAATCATCCCAGGAAGTGTCTGAACAGCTTGAGACTTATTGGTCTGGAACTATTTTCCTATGATCTAAGCACTTGACTTAGAGTTTAAGTATCTCAGTGGGTTCAGAGCTAAAACTATTTTTTAAAATATCTGATTTTTTAGTCCCATTTCTTTTTAAGCTGGTCATATAATAAGGATTTTGAGGATCTATTTGTTTTGCAAATACAATGATTTTTCTAAGTGACACTCTAAATTTACATTGGCATTTCAACCAACAGCCTAGTAAATCTACAAGCTCTAAGTAAAAAGCAATGCCGTAACTTTGTAGTGCTAGTGAAAGTCTTACTTCTTTAAGTTACAGGTAAAAGATATTGACTTCTGCCTAGAAAGTAATTATTTTAAAGAAAAATAAGTGAAATAAGTGCAAGTTAAACAGTTTGTTTAAGACTCTTAATATAAGAATTCAAACTCTCATCTTTGCCTCACAGAGTGGAATTGTCATAAATGAAAATATCTTTTTATTCTACTTAGAAGCATCTTTTTAAAGTGCATATGATGAGCAAAGTGTGTAAAGATATAAATATATATTTAAAGTGTAATGGTGTACAACAATCACTATAATAGTAAGTAAAGCAATGCCATAAAAATGGAGAACACATTCTTCAACACATTGAGAAAGTTATTTTCAAAGCCTGGCCCATTAGGTTGGAACCAGAAGTTTCCAGATATATGCCCACATTTGCATGAAAATAAATATTTTACATTCCAGTGACGGCTTGGTACATGCTTGAAAATGGATGGTTGTACTAGCTCTGAAAGAAACAGGAAAAAAAATGACCTTCTAAATTACATGAAGTCAAGTAGCTTGGAGAATAGAAAGCAGATCTCTACTGAGGAGACATCTAGTTAAATCTGTGTTCTCACCAGAGATCTATTGATCCAGGGCCCCGCTGGAATACTGGAGCAAATTCATGCAGCTGGGCTGAAGTCAGATTTTTGCCAACTCTGTCCTCTCTTACGATATGCTGTCATTGTTGGAATCATGGCATGTCTAGATTGAAGCTGCGCACAAAGTCTAAAAACTTTTTTGGGCAGAAGTGGCTATATTTCTCTTGTAAGCTGCAAAAGTCTATTTCACTTTTAGAGTTGCTTTTCTACTGTTGCAATAACTACTTTGGAAATTTTTATTACTGGTTAATTAAAATTAAGGTACTAGAGGGAATGAAAACAGTTATTTTGCTTAAGTTGCCTGAACTCAGACTATTGTGCAAGCATTCATTTTCTGTGGTATTTTATTTCATGGAACGATCAGTAGGTGAGTTTGCACAGAGTCAGCAAAATTTTCCTGCAAAGGATCAGATAGCAAATATTTTAGTCTTGGTGGGCCACACGGACTTTGTCACAGGTACTCAACTCTGTCTTGTATGAGAAAGCAGACATAGACTACACATAAACAAATGATTATCTATAGACAATAAAGTTTGAATTTTTTACATGTCACATAATATTCTTTTTATTAACCACATAAAATACAATGACTCTTGGCTTGTAGGCTGTATAAAAACAGATGGCAGGCTGGATTTGGCCCATGGGCTAGAGTTTGCCCACCCTTGAATAGAACACAATCACACAGAGTGATGAAAAATAAGAAAACGTATCTCTTAACGTAAACTTTTATGCTTCTTATTAGATATTTAGTTCCATTTGGATTTGTTTTTCCTAATTATCTCCTAAAATGTGTCATAATTCTTAGTTCAAAAGAATCCTAACTCACTGAAACAGTTAGTGTTGAGTTGCAATTCGAAAATTCAAAACTCACTTGAAAGATTCACGTTCTATCTACTAAGCGAACCCATCATATGAAAAGAAAGCCAGTATTATGTTATGTATTTGACATGGAATAAAATACTATTCATGTCCTTTGTTTTAAATATGAAATGAACACATTTACTAAGATTGCCCTGAATTTGGAAGAAACCCTGGTCCTTTAGCCATCAATGAGATGGCATCATTTTACTGAGTTGAATATTTCATTATGTTACCATGGTCTTACTGTTTAAGGTTTTCCATCAAGCCTTCTACACTGTCTCTCATATAAGCGATTATTTGCTGCTCTGCATTTACTTTTGATATTCTTTCTGTATTAGTTCTGATTCCTGAGACACTATTAGAAGTATTAGAAATTATAGCCCTTGCCGAAAACAAAGAGAGGAGATGGTGTTAAGCCAGCAAAGTCAGGAAGCTGTTTCTATATGACGTTTGCTGAATAAATCAAATGTAAATTCTCAGCAACTGTATTCTTGTTCTAAGTGTTTCTAGTAATAGAACTATTTCCAGCCAAACCCTCGTTAAGAGAGAGAGAGAGAGACGGAGAGATCAGTCAAGTAATTTACAAAGTCATCAGCAGTTTTTAATGTTTTTAACATGCCTTGCAAGCCAAAAGCAAGGTGCACCACCACCTATCAAAGCCTAGACAAGTGCAGGTTTCCTGTCAGTTTCCCTTTTTCTCAGTTCTTGGCATATGTTACATGCTCAAGAACTATTATATAAACAAACTTGTTTAACAGACTCAGTAATTAGGAGTTAAGATAAGCAACTACATAATTTTCAAAACTCATTAAAAAGTAAAAACATAGGGTGTAGAGTTCAAAGAGAGGAAAGAGTGCCTGCCATTAAAGGTACTAACGCACAAAACTTCTTTTCTTTCAGAATTTATTTTTTCTCAACTTCTCTGTGCTATTTGTCATGCTCCCACGGAATGGGATACTTACGGAGCGAGTGCAGATTACAACCTCTCAGTGGTCCATACTGTTAGTGGCATTAGTGCTGGATTGATACACTGTGTCCCTGGCAAGGGAGGGAAAGTCAATATCCCCTTCCCATGGGCCTGCTACCAGAATCTGCAGCAGATGAGACCCCTGAAGGATTGCAACCTTCACATTTGAGACGCACTCAGCTCCTGGATCAGGGTGCCCACTGAACATGCCATCCTGGGGAATAGAGTTGGCTGCCTCCATGCCCCACCTAGATGCCCCAGAGTGCATGTGGCCAACACCATCTTGCCTCATCTCTGTGCCCAGGCCTTGCAGTGGGTGGAGGACAGCTTTGGAATGCTGATTGGATGTCTGAGAATCTGTTCTGGGAAGGTGTGGAGGCTTCAGGGACCTCAAGTCTCTCAGCGTTTTTTTCCATTGTCCATTTGACTACCCTTACAAAAAAAAAACAAATTAAAAGATGAAATCATTAAGAATTTCAAAATAGTGACCCTAAGCATCAGGCCTTTGTGAGAATGGGGCCTTCTTGACTGCACTAGTGGCTAACATTTATTGAATTTCTATCAGCAAACTCTTCTAATCAATTCATAGTATACCCAATTCTCACATATGAAAACATATTGTGCAGAGAGGAAACTAAGTCACAAACATAATTTTTTCCAAGCTCATGAAATCAGTATGTGGTGATGCCAAGATTCCATTAATACTACAGGCAGTCTGACTCCCAGGCTCTTCATTCTAAACCACCTCAACATCTCATATGGTATAATTGCTTTAATACCTGTCTTGCAGGGACATGGATGAAGCTGGAAACCATCATTCCGAGCAAACTATCACAAGGACAGAAAACCAAACACCGTGTGTTCTCACTCACAGGTGGGAATTGAACAATAACACTTGGACACAGAGTGGGGAACATCACACAGCGGGGCCTGTCATGGGGTCGGGGGAGAGTGGAGGGATAGCATTAGGAGATATACCTAATGTAAATGACGAGTTAATGGGTGCAGCACACCAACATGGCACATGTGTACATATGTAACAAACCTGCACATTGTGCACACGTACCCTAGAACTTCAAGTATTAAAAAGAAAGTGTCTGTGGTTTTATACGTGGACCCTACTTCTCTGGAGATTTTTCTCTTCCCCAGCAATGTCCTTTTCATGACCCATTGAAATCACACTAAAACTTACCTGATATTTGATGGCTTAGAGCATGAGAAAGTGCCCAATAAACTTTAGCTTTTATTATTCTCTTCCAATTCTGCTTCTTGTCTAGGCTTTCTTTCAAATTCCTGTGAAGTGTTGTTTGAACTGGCAATGGCTTAATGTGTGCTTTTATCACGTGTATATCCTGAAAGAGGTACCAATATGTACATTTCAATCCCCAAAACAAAGATATTGAGAATGTTCTTAAGATGGCTGACCCTTTAAAAATCTTTCAGATCCTTAAATTCCGTAAGTTATTTATAAGACTGTCTATACATGAGTACCACATTTATACGTCAATGAATGAGTATCTATTTTATATATCAAATAGAATGAAATTCTAGAACCCAAACTCCTCTTGAATATGTAGTTTTTCAACTTTATGAGATAGATACCTAAACAACACCTATCTTGTGTACACAAGAAACCAAGTCCCAAGTAAATTGCCATTTTCTCTTGGCCACAAAGTTACTATGTGGTAATGCCAGGATGCTAATGTGGACAATCTGACTACAGGGTCCTCACTCTAAAATGGCACAAGATCCCATATGGAAGAGTAGCTTTAATATCCATAATATTAAACATTTATACAAATGAAAATTAGAACTCCACATAAAATGCTTAAATATTCAAAAGTAAAACTTGTTTCTCCTGAATTTCTTTATTAACATAAGAATACAAGATTAGAATATTATGAAATAATTAAGTTGAGCAAAAGTATTTATTGAATACCTACTAAGTTCCAGGCCTGATCCAGATACTTTACACACATCATTGAAGAAAGTAAACAAAGATTTCTATTATTGAGGAGCATATAGTGCAGCAGATAATTAAATTTTCTTTATAGTATCTTCTCTATGTTGGACAAGTTTTAAAGAATTTATTTATAATAACGATGTATTATACAAGTATAATTGTTTTATTTAAATATTTTGACATCCAATGTTGAGGCAAATTAGATTGTATCCCTGTTTTTATCACCATCATAGTATCTTCTAGTGGTGCTTTTGTTACTCCTTTCTTCCATTCCCTCTTTATTCTTTCTTTCTTTCTCTCTTTTTTAAAATCAGCTGCTGACCATACACTTTATTATCAGCTAAGGGATACGTTAAGTGGCTGCCGGCCCAACCACAGCCAGTTTATATCCGTGATAACTTGGCTTAGCTTTCCCTGAAGAAAGGAAGTTGTATCCTAGGGAAAGCAGACTGAAAATCATTTTTTTGCATTACCAGCCATTCCTAGAAGTTCTATGATTAATACAAATTTCACTTCTAAAATTATTTTATTCACCCAGTCACTTTGAAAGTTATATACCATGCAAAAAATAAGAATGCTCTCTCTTTACTTATATTTTAAGTACCCTTACAAAATCCTCTAAGTTAAAAATCACATTTAACATTATAGACCAAAGTTAATGTTTAAAGAAGTTGCGTCGTTCATTTTTGTTTTGTTTTGTGTTGTGGTATGGGGGAACATATTATTTTAGAAGGACTCAGTTAACACTCAATAGTTTCTACAAAATGGAAGATTATCAATGCAAAAGAAAACAACATTTGAATTTCAAGAAACACTTCTAAACAGTCTATACAAGAAAGCCGTGGGCATCAATATGAAGACATTTTAGATTTTTTTAGAATTGGTCAACTTTTTACATGTCACACAATTTGAGATAATGGGACAAAGATGGCAAAGAGGTCAGTGTGTCATATTCAGAGGAGAACCTGCTTTGAAATCTGACAGATTAGGTTTGAATTTTGACTCTGAAACTTTCCAGCAGGGTGGTTTGAGGCTTTTGAAATAAACATTCTGAGCCTTCATTTCATTATAATAGAAGGATCATGATATCCATGTACACAAAGCACTTGGCATATAGAAGTATGTACTCTATGGTAGATATTAGTATTCATCATGAGAGAGCTAGATTTAAGAAAAATAAATATCCTATAAAGTTACCGAAATGTTCATTCCAAGAACATGGGTTTTGTGTAATTAAGGAATTTGACAGGAAGGAATACACAGAGATAACAGACTGAATCAAATCATACCAAGATCTCTGATTACAAGAGATCTTTACAACTTCTTTGTTTACAAGAAGTAAAACAAAGTAGTTGTCTTTTAAAAACCAGTTTTGGATCAGGTACTATTAGGGACTTTTACATATGTTCTTCCAGGTATTGCTCAAAATAAAATTGAATCTCATAGCGATTGACTGAATAGAGCCAGACGAGAGCACGTGGCAATCCCACTTGCCTTCGTGTGCACATTGATGTGCCGCTACTGACACTGTGGAAGAGTTAAAGGGGAGCAAAAAGTTTTATTCTGGGGAAAAACATGCTACTTACTAGAGTACAGTCTTAACTGATCAAGAAAAATGTATATTTTGTCACAATTTCCTTTATGTTTCCACTGGGACAAAGCTAGTCTAATATATGAGACTCTTGAATGGCCCTTATCTTTGATATAAGAGGAGAGTATTTGCAAAATGTAATTTCCTTGTGGCCCACTTCATTATATATACCTATTTTCATAACAAAGCCTGTGAAGAAAAAAATGATGTTAAAATCAATGCATTCCTTGAATAATTGAGATTTTTTAAATGGATCTGTACAAAAAGCTATCCTTCAGAACAACGTCTCTCAAGTACTGTTTGCATTAATTTACACCCATTTTCCTTTGGAATTTTTCTCACTTACTCTTCATTTTTTTAATCATTCAAAATATTTCAAAGCTACTTCTCTGTTTTTAAGCATTCCACTTTAATTTGAAAATGTAAAAAATGTAATAAAATTGAATGATTAAATTGCACTTCTGTTAAGTAGGATTATTTTCTTATATCTTATATCAGAATTTTATTAGGTAATTGTTTTTCATCAGTATGTTCTGCCTACATCCTAGGCGTTAGGAAAATTGGAAAAGGATTGCCAGATTTTCTTTGTGCAGGCATACTCCTTACATTTCTTAAATTGTGCTTGACAATTTGAAGTGATGACAAAATTATACCTTTGGTTGTATATTTTTCTTATCATACTAATTTGAATCTAATAGAGGCTATATAGAATTTTTTTCTTTTGTCCTGCATTATAATTTCTATAATTCTTTACAATATTGAAATTCTGTAGTTCAACTATTGCTTCCTAAAACACAACATATGCTCAGATCATACAAGATTGTTAATAAAAACATACATATTAGCTTTATTATTGTTCTGAACTTATGTTCCTTTTGGGATGTAAAAGATAAGATGTGAAACTTATCTTGTAAAATCAAGTGATCTTTGATTTTGCTATGTTATCTACCCATGTGTTCTGGACCTCAGTGGGGACCAGGAAGCTAAGGACTTAACATGTTTCTATGACAATTTTAGGAAGAAAAAATAATATCATTTTACATCTCCACCTTCTCTTGGTCAGAAAACAGACATTGAGAATTACTGTAGATAGTCTTATGCCATAAAGATAAATGAAATTTTGAGGAATATATAACATGATTGCTAAGCAGTTGTGTGCATATATACATATGTGTGTATATATATGTATCCAATTTTGCACATTTAGTAATAGAATAACACTTTTAAAATGAGATCTGCCCTCAGTAATAAACTTTCTCATTTGTTAACAAATATTTTTAAGAATTCTGTAGAGAATTCTTGGCTTGAGTCACAGTTACCAGAAGAATACTTCTGACAAAGACACTTAAGCAGATATGAGAGAGCGCAAAGGGGAGGCAGAGAGATGTTTCAACACTGTCATTTTAAAACTTCAAAAAGCATCTCCACATCAGAAGCGACTTCACAGATCCCGAGTCTCTATATTTCTGAGATATTGTTTGACTTCATTTTTTTTTCTCTCTCTCTCCAGGTTCCAGGTTCCATAATCTTTTTAAGGGATATAGGATTTGGGAAGCATAGTATGGAGCATGAAATTCTCTCTATATATATATGGAGAGAATATATATATATATATATATATATTTTTAATTATCCGATTAGTGATTAAGACAGATATTAGAAGAGAAACAACAAAACTTATTTTTCTTTCACCATTCATGGAATTATTGGTAGTTCTATATTAAGAAACAAAATGAAAGCATTCACTTAAACATAAGAAGTAGGATAATAGATATATTTTTGATAAAAATGAAGTAAATGTTTGTCTCTAAATTCAAACTATCCACAGTACAATCAGTAAGTATTAGAAAACAAGTAAAGACTTGTTTTATGTGCTCTGGAGATATGTCAGACATAGAAGAAACAAGTAGAACTGATAACCCCTAACTTTGAAGGTCTATTCCAAACATAAGATGCGGTGTAGTTCCAAAATTATAGTTCAAAAAATAAAAATATACAAATAATAAATCATCCACGGCAATTGTTGGAAACAGAAAAATAGGCAATGTGTCCAAATACATAACTTCTCTAATATTGATATTAAAAAGAATTTATAAATAATAAACAATAGAAGCATGCTGATTGTTTTATTATAATATTTTCAAATTCAAATTAAGATAAAGATAACAAAGCTGTATTCAAGAATAATAGAAGCATTGCAAATATATATTGGACTGAGAAGGATTTTGTATTACAGCAAAAAGCAAAATTGAATGGCATTCTATTTAAAATGCTTTCTTTTTTATATTTAAATGTATTATTTTAGAGAAAATTCATCATTTAATAGGTGGCTAGTAAACTTTCAAACAGCGAAATAATTTGCAATTGAGTATAGTATATCAGCATTTTCATATTTTGCATCATCTTGATTTAATATTTCTGATACTTCAGCAATGCTAGAGCGGCCATTCTTGGTAACCACATCACCACAGAAATGTAATATGTGTGTTCCGTATCGTTTCCTGCATTATGTGTGTGGGTTGTGGTTGTTGTTTAAGTTCCCATGACTATTGAGCAAGGAAGTTGGGTATAATTCCTGGCAGCATAGTAGTTTATCCATTACACTAAAGAGCAGATCGTATTTCAAAATGTTTTTCTGAGATCATTACAGAAACAAATGACAGGGTTATCAGCCTTAATACCAATTGCCCAGAAAATGTGGGGGAAAAAAGCCACTAAAAATAGCCACAGGAAGCAATAATTTCTATGACAAATTGTTCGGCTGTTTACTTAGTATGCTAAGTAATATATTTTTGATC